GAAGATCTTTAGAGGTATCTGCCTTCACTGTAGCAGATACAAGTTGCTGCCTGTCTTGTCAAGCCTACGCGTTTTAGACTGTGGTTTGTTATGGTATTTTGCACAGAAAGCATTTATATGATGGAGCAGAGCGTGCACGTCACCATTTTGCAAAGTAGCCAGGAATCCTGAGTGAAGCTTTCATTGACTGCTGATTTAGAGCGGAGAAATTGTAGCTTTCCTTGGAGAGGCAAAGAGATGTCTCTTTGCTCCTTTTTTTTAATTCCTTACTTGAGCCAACAAGGTCTGAAGAAATACATTAATTTGAGGCACTGAGTGTGACTGCTGGAACTTGTATTCTTTGACCTCAATTTGCTAACTTTATTGAAAGAATATGAAGTTGTAGATTTGAGGATGGGGGAAAAAAAGAGCCAGGGTGCAGAAATCAGTTGGAGTCAGAGATGGTTCTTTGCTTTTACATGTCCTTGCTACCTTTTCTCTTTCAACCATGTCTAGTTTATGGTGGTTGTTATAAGTGTCTCCCTTGGGCTATAGGGCTCTGCTGCTGCCAAAGAAAAATGCATTGTAAATGCAGATGAGTTAGAGTAGAATAAAAATCATAATGGCATTGGATTATATCAAGTAAGTACAGGTTTTTTTGTAACCTGGTGGCACCTGTAAAAACTTTGGACAGGAGTGGGGTAATACTTTGCTCAAACAAATGCTGTGTCTGATTCCTGTATTGTTTTTTGTCTGCTGAGAATAGTGATGAAGGTTAGTGATACATGTCTCAGAAGCTTAAATGCTCCTTCTGGAAAGCATTGGGAAAGTGTTATCGACCTCAGTTTTTCCATAAAGTAAATGCTGTTGTATGTGATACACTGGTGCTGCGTTAATTGGTGACTAGGGTCTGTTACTGTCCTAACTGGCCTTCCTTCTCAAGCTTGTACTTGTGCTGCAGTTGGTTAATCCAAAAGCCTGTCATGACTCATGAAGCAGTCTGCGGCTTTATCAATTTCTGTGCTTTTGCGTCTCCTTTTAGGCTTAGACCACTGGCCCAAGCTGCGTTTGTAAAATTTTCTGCAGTACTGATGGGCTTTTCAAATAGTGTCCAGGGAAAGTCTAGAGCATGACAGAAAACTGGTTTTTTTTAAACTTTCAATGTAGACAAGGCATACAACAGCAGATGATAGTGTTTTCATGTAATAATCACTCTGATCTTGTGGGTCTAGGTGCTCTTGGTTGTCAAGAGTTAGAGCTGGGCCAGCTACTTCATGAATGACAGATGAGTGACTTCCCCCAAAGCAAGAGGGAAAAGGAATAAGGCAGAGACACTTACGGACTGGAAAACTGAACCATCTTTAATAAAACAGTAATAGCACTAGTAAGGAAATAATGAAAGTAATGAAATATATACAAATATATGAAAAACTGGTATCGAAGCCAACTCCCCACCCCCAACAGCAGTGACCATGGATGCTGTGGGGCAGGCAGGCACTGGGGAAGCCCCAGGCTCAGCGGCAGAGGGGAGCCTGACACGGGAGCTGGACTCAGACAGTCAGAAGATCAGATGGAGTCCTCAGACGTGGCCACTGAAGAAGACTGCTTAACCCTCCTGATCCCTCAGCTTTATAGTGAGTCTGACACATATGGAGTACTTTTGTTGGCCAGATTTGGGTCGCCTGTCCTGTCCATTCCTCCCCAGAGGTGCGACATTTTACTTCCTTGCAACCCTTTTACTTCCCAACACGGCACACGAGATCCAGCAGTGACCTTGGACATTATACAAGCAAGTATAAACAGGAGCTTCTCTGCATACCAGTCCGTGGTAGGAACTATAAGCATCAGGAGTTATCGCTTCTAGTAGCAGACACCATCTGCAAAAACACCCTGCTCGCTTCAGAAAGTGAGAAACTCTTAGAAGTTTAGCTGTAAAGTAAAATCACTGAACAAATTGGTTCTGTTTAGCTCAAACCAGGACAGTGGTCCTTTGACAGTGCTTTTGATCCCTTACATGCATTCCTGGGACGATATCCTCTGTGTGCTGGCTAGCTGATGGTCCTTCTAGGCACATGGTGTGTATTTAGCTTTTAAATAGCCAGTTGCAAGATTGGTGATAACCAGACCGCAGGATACAGGAGTTAGTGCTGGTCATCAATAGTGTGGTGGTTTTCTTGCATTATTTCTCTGAGCTCTGGTAGATAAGAATTACTCCTTAGAAGGGTTGCTGATGTGCTTAGATGGCTTCCAGGGGAAAATGAAAAAGATATCATTAAACAGTAAACTATTTTCACCACATCCTCTCTGCAAGTCCCATATGTCCTTTAGCAATTTTTAGCTCGTTGGACTGCAGAAGGACTAAGTCGGAGGCTTTGGTTGTGTTACATTTCTAGACCCAATTAGAACATGAAAAGGCTACATTTAAAGGTTTTATCTATTTTCGCACCGAACTAGCGCCCACCTCTGTCCTACCGTCTTGTAACCCTTCACATTTGGGTGACTTCCATTGCCATCTGGAGGAAGGAGTGACTTTGAGGAAGTGGTTTCTGGAACAACGTTCAACATCTCTGGACGACAGCTACGTAGTTGGCTTCTTGTGTCTGACAATTCCCCAGACACACAAAGGCAGTTTCAAGGCCTATAGTATTTCTTTTTTATTAACTTTTGTAACACGAAGGGACTTGGACAAATGTATGTAAGTCCCTATGTGGAAGAGGCTTATTGCAGCCAGATTAGCAGCACGCTTTGTTCGTAACTGCGTGGTTTATTAATCCTGGCATCATTCTCATTTGGGTTTTGAAGCCTGTGATGACAGGGTGTGAAGCATTTGGCTTCTGATGCGCCTGGTGCTAGTTATGCATATCAAAGAGGGACCTATCAACTCAAGTATGACTATTGGAGCCCTTTTTGTGGCAGAGGGCTCCAGAAATAAACGACAAGTAGGTGTGTGCTTCTGCTAGGAGTGCACAAAAAAGAGGAGCTGTCTGCAGAAGTTGCAGTTTTTGCCGGGCGGGAACTGGGCTGAAAAGGGAGTGTTTCTGCGATCTCAGCATCAGCCAGCACTGCAGTGACATCCCAGGTGTTTAGTGTGTTAAGTCCTTCTCCGACAGCAGCGAGGCACCAGAGCAGGGCGCTCCCATCCCTTCCTGGCCTGATGTAGCCTTTGCTGGTGCCTGTGTTCTACAGATGTCCTTCACAGCGCTGGGGGGGGAAGTGGGGCTTTTTGGGAAGTGGGGTTTTATTGTTCAGAGGGTATGGGGAACTTCCCTGTGCTGCTGCTTGTGCTGTATGTGGGCTTGGTGTAAATTGAAGTTGTTGCTCTGGGACTCCCGAGCTGACAGCTTTCATTAAGGTCAGTGTTTTGAGGTGTCTGAAATCAAGCAACTAACTCGTGACGTTGGCATTGGATGAGGAGGTCTGGTTCCTCAGTCATGATGTGCTGAATTGAGCAGAGTCCCTGGAGACCCTGAAACCTCTGAAAATCCGCTTTGTTTTGGTGCACAGAACTCTTAATTCTGAATGGTTTTCATCTAGCTTTTGCACAAAATTAGAGGCAGAAGAAAGAATTTCAGCAAGTCTTACATGGTTTGTGGTTTCACTAAGGCCTTGATTAAAGAAAGCAAACAACAAAAAATCAGCAACCAAATGTAAATTTCCCTGGACTTCTTTATGTTCTTGGAACCAGCATCATTATATCAAACCAACCTTGATCAAGAATGAGATCACTGAAAGTAGTGTGAATGTTCCAAGTGCAGGTCATACAGCAGTTACTTCATGCAGTATTTATCTGTTAGCATCCTTCCCACAAGGTATCTCCCCACATATTTTTGAAATAAAGTATGATAATAGCATAAGACAAAACGTTGGCTTCAGGGCAGCGGCTATACCTGCACAATGGTTGAACTTTGTTTTGGTCTGAGATTAAGACAGAGATTCACTTCCAAGTTTTGGATTTTCTCGTGCGTAAACCCTATCCATATGGCAGGTAATTGTAGTTTTAAGAGTTTGTATCCATTCTCCTTTCCAACTTCACAATAAATCATCACTCAGTCCTGACGGGCTTTTAAAAGTGGAAGAGATCAAACATGTACAACATATTTCAACACACCAAATGTGGGAGGGTGTCAAGTCTGTAGCATTAGTGCTGATCAGTGATTCAATTAGTGCGAAATGTATTTGAAAACAGTTTACTTTCTGCCTGGGAGAAATGGATTGATGGTCCCAGGTTCTGGGTATTGATACAAATATTTCCATGCCCAGTAGATGGGAGGTGGAATAGATTCTTCCAAGTAAGTTCTCACATGAGCAGAGGTAAAAGTTTTTATAAGTATCACCCTTGGCTTTTAAACCACAGATTGCCTGGATAGTGAATGAAAATGCTTGGAAATAGCACGACTTCTGCCAGTAAGAGGTCAATGGAAGAGTGAGAGTGAGCTAAAGCAGGAGGACTAGATGAAATAAGAAAAACTTATTTCATTTGGGAGATTTCAGTGAGAAGGAGAGCAAATGGAGTCAGTGAGACCAAATATACATGGACAATCTCTCATGTCCTGACAGCAATGCCGATGCTGGGATCCCGAGAAAACTCTATGCTGGAGGGGAGAGGTGTGCGTGATACTGTGCCTCTGATGTTCTTGGTTGAAGCTGATAGTGTAGTAAGGCAAATCAGGTGCTTCTGTGACTGCAAATCCAAGGCTGTGGTGTTGGCTTTCTGGCAGTGATGCGCTTGTTGCCTGGCTTTGCGCTGGCTGGATGCCATTCTGCTCCCAGCTGGCTGGTAGACCAGATGTTGGCTTGTCTAGTAGCGTGTTATTCAGCAACAAAGAACAAATTAAACAGTTTGTCTGGTACAACTGGTTGTGTCCTGGGTTGATCCTCAGGTAGGATGGCTGTGGCATGTACAGGAACAGCAGAGCAGGACAAAAAATGAATAGTTTTCCCTTGCTGTCCACATCCTATCTCCAAGAAATCCTGTTCTGTAACGAGTTTTCCATGTCTTCAGTAGGTTCCATATGAGCAAGACGCAGGGTTGGGCTGCAAGAGCAAGACGACAGGATGCTGTCGAGACCAAAACCTGGAGAGTCCGAGGCAGACCTTCTGCACTTTCAAAACCAGTTCCTGGCAGCCAGAGCTTCACCTGCAGTGAAAATTGTGAAGAAAGCAGACAAGAGGAAGGGTGAGGAAGGGAGCACAGATGCTGAGAGACCTCCACTGCAGGACAGCAAGGATGTAGTCATGTTGGATGGTAATTTCCCTTGTGGGCTTCTTAGCTTTACTGAGATTCTCTGCCACTTTCAATGTTTCTCGGTGCTTGCATTTTCACCTCCCTCTTAGTGCAGTGTTACTTTTGCCCTGCAGGGTGTTCTCCTTCTCCTCGCAGTATTGTTTGGTCCTAGAACTGTCTTTCCAGCACATTGCCTTTGTCTGCATTTATCAGCTGTCTGTGGTACTTTGCCAGGCTCAATGCAAGAGGTGTTTTCTGTGAGGTGTACCCATTGGACACTCACTGCTTATTTTGCCATCTATCCAGACCCTATTCTCAGCATCTTTGAGATTTAGCTCTGCTAACAGCTCCAGCTTTCAGCCAGCAGATCTGACTTGATAAACCCCTTCCTGTGATTCTGTTTTCCTCCATCAGTAGTAACTGTAACGCTTCTTTCATGTGCTTAATGGTCTCAGAAGCTCAAGGTCCTTTCTTAAAAGCAAAAACTTAAATCTTTCGGTGCTTGGTTCCAGGTAAGTAAATACCCCAAGGAAATGCCTCCTCCCAGGAGATCTTGGCTTGCTCATGGTCATACAAGTCACTCATTATTAGAGCTGGCAGTGGAAATGTGCTTTTTTGTGCCTGAAAACAACACCTGCAAGACGCTATTTGTTTTTGTACAGCCTTGCTGCTTTGCTTAATACTTTCAGTCAGGCCTCAGTACCCTTTCCTGCTTATTCATCTCTTTGAAAAAAACCTTGGTGCCAATACATAAATAATAAAATTGTTGAGCATGTTTCTCTTCTCTACCCAGTGCAAGTCAGAGACGTGGTTTTTAATTGTCTTATTGCTTCCTCATCTTCTTTGTTTTTCATCAGAGCAATAAGAGGTGCTATTAGGGAGCCTTGGTCTAGTACCTGTTACACAGTAGTTATGTATTAATAACTTGACTGCCTTTTTTTCTTTTTTATCCTATTACTTGCTCTCCCCAGATTTTCCTGATGTTCTCCCAGTTCTAACTCCAGCTCCTCCAAAAAAGTCCAAGATCAAAAGTGCTTGTGTCCGCTTTGAAGATGAAGATCCAGAGGAAAGACTGGAGAGTCATGATCGACACATTACAGCAGTCTTCAGCAAAATTATTGTAAGTCTGGTTTTTATGTGGTGATCTAGGTTGTTTGGTTTTTTGAATGCTGTGAACTAAGCACTGGACAGGGATGAAGAGTTCTGTTGCCGCTTTTAATTTCTACAGTGTAATGAAGCATTTGTAGCGCTGTAGACCAGTGTCCTGGAGCACTTTGAAAGAAAAAAACTCTTTGAGTATTTTTTTGCTGTCAGTTAAATATGGATTTGAATCTGCTCTCTAGCCCAGACTGCCTACAGATCCCACTGCTTGCATGCAGGCATGTGCTCCAGTGTGGATTATGGTAAGTTTCTGGACTCTCTAAGGGAGATGTTCTTATTGCTCTGCACTGGCTCAGGTTTTCCTCTGATTTTGAGCCGTGTGTGGAGTTTGGCAGCCAAACCTCTTGGAAAATAGTCTCACTTTGGCTCTAAATAAGCACAGGGTATTCTGAGCCTGACAGCGATGTAACAGAAAGCTTGTGAGCTGCAGAGCTGAGAGGTTTAAGTCTACTCTTAGCTAAATTATATAAAGATGTCTGGCCATTGTGGTGACTTCTACAGGATTTGCATGTTTTGCTGCAGGAACGAGACACGAGCGCAGTAGCAGTGACTATGCCAGTGCCCACAGGAGACCCTTTCCCGAGGACATTTCACCGCTCTGAGATAAAAAGTGAGGTAAGATGGGGAGCAGCTGTTTTATGCTGCCTTTATTAACAACTGAAACTTCCCTTAGTGCTTGGTGAGTGATAGGGCTCAAAATAAGTGATGTTGCATGCTGGAGCTTGTGAGCTAGCTCAGTGTATCTCTGGCATTGCACCTTAGTGTAGGAGAGAGGTCTTCTACCAAGCTGCCATCAGCTAGGCACTCCACACCCTGCAGTTAAATGACAGTGGAATTCTTTTGGTTTAGGTAAAAGGCAATCACCTTCAGCTAAATTTAGTGAGGTGGATCAAATCTGATCAAATCTGCATCAGAATTGATGCTGTTCTGCTTGTTCTTCTCTGAGGAACCATCTCTGTTTATTTGTCCACTGGCTTTGAACAAGTCTGTACTTACTGCAGTGGCACCTGCTTTGTCCTGGCATGACATTTGAGTATGGTTGCACAGATTATTTTTTGCAGCTTTTTTGGATTTTGACATATATATTTTTTTTTTTCCCCCAAGGCTGTAGAACTGGAAGCCATGGCTGCTCTCAGCCGTCGTTGCTGTAGTAGCAAGAGCTGCTGGCTGAGTGGGAGTCAGATGTGGGGAATTGCTATGTGATTGATAGCTGTGATTGCTTTGAAGAGTTAGCCTGTTTTGAAGGACAGCTTTTTGAAAGGAAAGAGTAATACTTTTTAAACTACCAGTTCTGTTTACCTGATGCAGGAGTGCACAAAGCAGCTACTAAACATTCAGACTGCCTTTTGAGCTTCTTCTCTGGACTGGATACATGCAAGAGGGTTTTTGCTTAGTCTAGTTTGGACTTGCTGTGCAAGGCTGTTCAGAGCCATGTCCTTCCATTGCCTAGGCAAGCAGCACAGTAATTTAGTCAGGATTATTTTAGTACCACTTACCCACTTCTTACTGTGTAAATCTCTTCACCCTGCTGCTCTCTAATCACCTTATTAGAAGCTCGTTCCAAGCATGTGGTAAGCACGGTGCAGCACAGCCCCATTTATCCTCAGAAATGCAGAGTATTCAGCTACGCAGTTTCCAAACAGCAGGAAAGCTGGAACTGTTGTGTTTGGTGATATTTTAGGTGTACTCGCCTGGCTTGATTTTGCTTATAATTAATCATCTTCCGTCTCTAGGTAGCAAAAACATTAATGTTTTTGTCTCTCTCCTCTAGCATTAAGCTGTGTGTTAAAAAAAAAGAATAGCACATGCACAAAAAAAGGGCTGGTGGCTGCCGGTGGCTGCTCTTTGTCACGTCTCAAAGCCTGCTCTGAGGGCGTCTTTAGGATCTGATCTGTACGTTTTTTTAGTGTCAGGTGTGCGGGGGAGTCTGGAGAGGAAAGTGGTGACACATGGCTTCCCTGTTTGCAGGTGAAGGTGGGAACTGGAGGAAAAAGCATCTTTGCACAAAAGATGGCAGCGAGAAGAGCTGCTGAAAAGGCTGCAGCAGCTCCCTCTGCTGCCGAGTGCGTCCGAGTAAGATCAGCTGCTCCGGCTGCCGTGGATCCCGAGGGATCAGCAGGGGAGGCACCGCTCCCCAGCTTCAGGGGCGGTGAGTGGAGAAAGTTCTGCTTATCCAGCCTCCCGTGTTTACACGCCCTTAGTAACCATTATATCGGTGCACCTCGTTTATAAATTAGAGTAGTGCTGTTGTCCTCAGTTTAGGAATCTCAAGGTCACTTGGAATGTCTGTGGTGTGACAAGGTTTTGAAATGGTCCCAAATTGACATTTGAAAAATTTGATTAGCTTTTCCCACTGATTTCCTTTTTGCTTCACACAAAGGCCAAACAGATTTATTTTTCAAGGTTCTGGTCCTACTTTTCCTCTCAGTTATACATAAAATTTCTCTTGTTTCATCGTTATTTCCACAATCTTTGGAAGACGGTTGTTCTTGTGTCTGATGAAGGTGTTTGAAATCACTATGATGCAGGCTCTCACTCCTACCTAGAGACTGGAAGCTCAGTTTTCTGTCACCAGACCCGCTGCCATGAGACTGTGGCTTTGCTCCATGAGGAACGCTGTGAGGCAGTGATGATGAGTCAGTGCCACCTCCAGCAGCATCTTGTCTGATGGCAGCGTGACAAGGAAAGATGAAACAAATTCATCTGGTACCAGCATTTGCAGGCTCTTCTCCCCTCAATCCCCTCCTTTGTCACATTGAAATAGAGGCCAGGTGTCCTTTGAGGGTTACTGCTAAGATTTCTGTCTACTCGGGCTCCTGTCAGAGAATTGGTAAGAGAACCCTGAGATGTGCTGTGCCTGCGCAAATCCACCCTCCAGGTCAATACAGTGTGCTTACTCTGTATTCTGTTACAGTTGTGCATGTGTCCTTCTGAGAAAATCTCCAAGGGAAGTACCACAGCCCCTATAGCTGTGATCCTCTTGAAGTAGAACACTTCTGAAATGTAGTAGCACAACAGAGGCATCAGAAAGTGGTTTGACCTCCTCAGCGAGATTGTTGCGGCATGATCACTAGAAGCAAGAGCAGCTGTTCCTTGTAGTAACAATGTGTTTGCACCTGGTAACCCTCAGCTGAGTTGCTGATGGTGGAAAGCTTGCTGAATCTTTTACCAGGTTATGCTGTCTTCTCATTTCTTTCTGCTCAATGTGCAAGACAGCTGCTGTGGAAACGACATCAAACCTCGCTGATGTTATGATGAGTGTCATCACTGCTGTTTGAACAGGTGTTGGCTGGTTTTGGGTCATAGGGATGATGCAAGTCACTGTGTAGAGTGTATGAACAAAACATAAGAAATAAAGTCACTGAGTCAAGTCCTTGTATAGTGAGCTATAGGACAGCTGGGGGGTCTCACTCTGACCAAAGGAGAACATTACCCTGCTGCTGGAGAAATGAGCCCCTGAAAGAGGATTTAGATCAGGTGATAAAGGGGACTTGATTTTGTTCAGGGTGGAAAAAATGCCTCCCTGCTAGAACTTCTAATATATTTAATCCTTGAAGGTGGATAGAGGACATTGTTAGAAACAAACGTACAGCCTTTGTTGGGAATGGATCCTGTGTCACTCTGGAAACTGATTTACCTAATAATTTTAATTCTTTGTCTTACTTGGCAGCTATTTACTAGGTCATGGTTCAGCTGATGTACAAGTGTGGGTTCAGCTGTTCTTGAGCAGAGAAGGAATCTTGTATTCACTAGCTTGGGAGAATGCTCTGACTCATCACTTGTGAATTGTGCTCCAGTTTATCTTTTCTGGCCTTTGCTTTGCATTAAAGAAACAACATTCTTTTCCCTCCATCCCACCCCAAACTCCTGAAGTGACAAGTTAGAAATAACATGAGATAAAAGCCCAGATATTTTAGTTTTGTTTGAAGCTAAACTAAACTTTACTCCTATTTTAACCTGAGTACCTAGATAAGAAAAATGAAATTATGCGAACCTGGTAATGACAAAATTGAGATGCATTCATAACGCTGTAAATGTTTAGATCACTAACTGTATTCTCTGCTGGATCTTGTAGATAAAGCTGGTGACTCTCAGCGGTCTTGTCTCATAACGGGAGAGGGTCTTGGAAGCCAAAAGAGTGAGCAGGAAGCTCAAGCTATTCACAAAGAGAACTTGGAGAAGCTGCGGTCCATGTCTGAGGAGGAGATCCGGCAGGAGCAGGAAAAGCTTCTGGCTCAGCTGGGTATGTGAATTCTGGAGGCAGGGAAACTTACTGCATGTGTAGGTGTCCTGAAGTCTTACCAAATTCACAGGTCAAAGATGGGAGTTTACCATTCCTGTTCACTTCACGTGTGGCTAATCTAGCTTCCACATCACAGCATGAGCCTCTGAGTAAGAATTAAGTGTGAAGGAATTAGAGAACACTTATTCCTCAGTGAGAGGGGGCTTAGCTCAAGTCTGAGACGTCTCCCCTTTGCTGTGGGATAAGATGGTCCCTGCACTTTGTCACCTTCCATGCCAAATACTAGGTTACGTGTACATCTGTTGAGGTCCTAAAATGTAGTTCTGTAAAGCAGATAAAAAAGCCAGGCCATTCTCAGGATGTCCATAGCACTGCTGAAGTGAGCCCTTGGTTTCTCCCTCCAAAATATCAAAGACTTGGGCCAGAGCTGTCAGTACCTGGATAGGAGAAATGTGTGGGCATGTGGGAGATTTCAGTCCAAATCTGTGCTTGGCAGAGCGAAAAAAACTTTCAACTAGTTTTGAACATCTTGAAGAAGCATTTTAATTCTGTATTGGCTGCAGGTGCTCTGGCAGGGCTCTGGTCTCTGGTTTTGGAACCATGTCCGCAGCGGTGCCCTGGGAATGCCTGTCACAGCTGATGACAAGCTGGGGACAACACGGGGTGTCGCGTGCTTGATAAGGCTTTATGAGATCTAGAGTGCTGTCGAACTTGTTGCCATTGGTTTCAATGATTTTGTATGCTCAAGGAGAGCAAACATGCAGAAGTAGGTGGCAGACAAGTTTGCTTTTTTTTTTTAAAATCTGCATAATTTCAGATTCTCTAGTGTCAAATTTAGGTGTGAAAGGCACTTTAGATGCAGAAATCTCTTGTGGGTTTAGCTTAAAGATCACAGCAGTGACCTTGACTTTATTGCAAGCAGCATGGGTGTATCTGGAAAGGTGGCAAAGGAACTGTGCAAAATAAGTGTAGACAGAATGCTTAAGTACATCCTTCGTTCAGAGAGCTCAGCTCAGCTGTCCAAACTACCTGCAGTGAAAAAAAAAAATCTTTTAAAAGTTTTTTTAACTTACTGCTTATAACAATGGCATGTGTATGAAAAATACCTTGTTTATGTGCTTTTTTCGTGTGATTTGTGCTCTCTGCTCCTTGTCCCCACTACTCAGTCCTTTGGGCTATTATGAAATGAATACTTAGGGAGTTAAAAAAGGACAGGATGTATTTTAAGTATTTTTAAATAATAAATTATTTTCTAAACCAATGTATTTTTGTATGCCTTGTGGATTAAAATTTTTGATATTTCATTCTTTGAGCCCTTAAGGAAATTGGGAGTAAGTCCGGCATTCCCAAAATATCTGTGGCTGGGGAATTATGCATGACAAAACAACTCCTAAACTAAATTTCTGGCTTACAGATGAACTTGGGAACTGAACAGGCTTGGAGATGTGGACTAATGAGACCTTTTTTTTTATATTAAGGAGTGTGGATAATTTGTGGGTTTTCAATGCTGCCCAGTCTCTGGATTAACTTCTTAGTTATGAAGGAGGTGAAACTGTGGTGTGGGAGGCTATTCCATGCTGGGCAGCGTCTTCAGTGTCTTCTTGTTGATACTGTTCTGGTTTTGCCTGTGGAGACTGGGCAGGAGCAGGCTTGCTTTCTGACGTGCTGTGCACAGATTGACATAATTAGCAACTTGTTTGCCATCGTTTGTGTGAAATGATGAAATAATGAATACAGTCTTTTCCTTGCTGTGTACAGTGACGTATAGGCAAGTGAGAGCTCTGCTTGCGTTCAGGAAAAAAAACAAGTGTGCTTTAATGAGTCTGGGCTGACTGCTTCTCCTTCACCAAGGGAGATTTAAATGCCATCGTGAGGAGAGTGTGCAGCAATCATAAGCATGGGGTAGACGCCTGCATCCTCTTTGAACTGTTTCGGAGACGTGGCAATTGTTTCCTTTTTGAGATGCGATGCCTTCTCTCAAGTAGAGACCATTTCTAAATTGCTTGTCCTTTGTCCTCCAAAGAATAAAAAAAATCAATGTAGGTGTTATGTTCTGTTACTTTATGTATTCCTGACACTTTCTGTTGGAGTATCTCTGTACATTTTAGAGGTAGAATGCATAGGCTCTTACTCTTCACCTCTGGCATAATCATCCTGACACCATCTTCTAGATGAAGAGTATTCAGAGAGAAATTGCACCCCATCAAAAATGATGTGGGATCATCTGTAGAAGATTTAAAGCAAAATGATCATCTGACACTTTCCTATTTTAGAGCCGTAGGACTATTATCTGTCCTTCAAAACACGCCTACCTCCCAAATATTCCTCTTCACCTCCAAAACATGAAGAGAATGGCCATGTCTGTTCTCTGGATGTTATCAGATCATAATTGACTCTTGGGATGGGCAGTCAGTTCAGAACAAACAAGATCTCCTTGTCCTTAGACCATGCACCGCAGCTGTAACACAATTCATTAAAGAGCAGGTAATTCTTTTTTGTGGTGTCTATTCCATGTATTCTTGTAGAATTAGATAGATGCTACTGAGCAGGGTAGGCAAACTGTCAGACCTGGATTCCTCCCATAAATCATAGGTGAGAATTCTCTCTGCAGTGAATAGTCTCATTTGGATGTGCCTTTTCAGTGGCAGTGGGGAGAGGGGAAAGAAACAATTATCTCTTTACTCGTAAGCTGGGAGAGCAACTACAATTTTTGTGGTTGCTTTACCTTGAAAGACATTTATCAGCTCTTTCTCTGATGTCATCTCACCAGTGAGTTGCACCCAGCTTATGTGCCCAGGAGGTCATAAAGCACTTAAGTGCCTTGGTTTGTAAAGAAGTGACAGTTGGTGCAGAAGAAGAGGGCATGTGGAATGGGAATCAAAAGACTAAACCAGAAATAGCAGGAGCTCTAGGCATATCAAGTATTTTGAGACTTTCTGTTACTTCTCTGTCTGGTTTTTTTTTATCAATACTTGCAGATTCCAATTTAATTGCTTTCTTAAAGTCACGACGTAGTGGCAATGAAGGCCAGAAAAAGGAATTAAAAATGGAACAGAACAGACCGGAGGAGTTTGTGGAATCTCTGCCTGTGGCTCAGCACGGTGTTGGATCATCTCTTTCCACACGGGAGTTGGGTCTGGAAGAATCTGTAAGGAAGGAAGAAAATAGCAAGGTAGAAATCACAGGTAAGAAACCAAATGCACATTGTTAACGTTGTGAACATAAATGTCAGGTTTGTGTGGTGCTTGCATCAGTCCAGATTGGATTGATGTGGCATGTCATTAGTTATCCAGCTCAGAATTTTGTCATGATACTTAAAAAATGCATGTATTTTGAGTTCAAGAAAGAACATCTCTATTATTTCTAGCCAGGGTCCATAGATTAGACGGGTGATATGCAGTGTAACAGAGGTGGACTATTCAGTGGGAGATCTTGCTTTGTTTTTGAAATTTGCTCTGAGGTCCCTGAAGGGAAAATGTGTTTTAAACTAGGCATCATTACTCTTCAGTTGTGTGAGCAGGGAAGCAGAAGAGTGTGGTAGTGAGATTCAGATGCTGCTTGAATCATTTCTGTTAGTTGGGACCAGCTGGGGACCAGAGGGTGTTGGGTAGGTAAAGATTAGTGATTTGCTATTCAAGAGGTCTCTGAATCACTCCTGGATATCAAGCTGGTGCTTGCAAAAGGTAACAACCGTTTACCATTTTCTTGATGAGAAGGATGAGTCTGTGAGGGTATGTGTGTGTACACATGCAGGAGGAGGAAAGCTTATCAGCCCCTGATTGAGGAAAACACTTCACTGAACAGTCCTTTCACTGTTTCTCCCCAAGTTTTATTTTTCCACAAATCCATCTTAATCAAAGGACTGATTTAAGTTCCAGAACAATCAAGTGCACAAGTAGCACCAGGTGAAGTGATATTCTTTTACTCCTCTGCAAGCACTAGAAGGTGGTTGTTCGGCTGTAAAGGCTGAACAAGACTGTAGCAGTGCTCTTGGGAATGATGTGATGTTCAGAGCATCGTGTGCTGATGACATGTTTTGCTTCCCGTGGAAGGAAGGGAGAAGAGGAGATTTCCCAGGATATTTGAAGTAACAAAGAAAGAATGAGCTGGAACATGGTTATAAAACCAAGGGAAACCTTTTCAGAACCTGAGTCTATGCCTGCAGATCATCTTGGCCAACAAGAAATATTAAATAATAATGTGACATTAGCGCTTAGTGTTGGGATTTTGCATCTATTTGTGCTCAGAAGTAAACTTGTCATGAGTAACCCAGCAGAAATGGTTATTCTGAATTTCTCTGGGGAGAGGATGATGACACAAAGCAGTGGGATTGCTCAAAAGTAAAATCTGCCTCTCAGAGATAAAAGGCAACTCTTTCTAATAAATAAGATGGTGAAGCCTTTATCCAGCAACTTATAATCTTATCAAATGAAAAGGTAAATTCTGGCACCAAGGCAAAAAGGGAAGCAAAGCAGAAAGGGGAGAGGTGGAGTGGTAGCTTCTAGTATAACCCAGGTCTGAAAAATTTTGCATTTATGCTGTCAGCTTGTGTTTCTGTAAAGGACTTTCTTGGTAACTGAACAGTGTGCTGATGCCTTGGGATATCTATCTGTCTTTTCTTGTTGACAAGATCGTAATACTAAAGGCTAGTGGTAATATGTGTAATCCTATTCATAGAATTATTAACTGAACCCTGTTGATGTATTGGTTAATGAAGAAGACGATTTGTGGAATTACAGATGTCAATAGATTGCATTTTTCTGCTCATTTTATTTCCTCTAGTTTTACACCTACCACCCGCAAACGTTTTGGTTTCTTACATTTCAGATGCTTTTTCTTTCTCTTCAATTAAAATGTGTGCTGAGTCTTTGGCTGAAATTTTGCAGAACAGCTTTCTGGCTGAGGAAGACAATTCTGTGCTCAGTTCCTTGCTTGACTCAGTACAACATTGATCGCAAGGGTGAAGCTTCATCCTAGAAAGGATGAGTGCCCTTCCTGAAAGTTTATCTGCTAGTTGGAGGAAGATAAAAGGTTACATTTCAGGCCAGGTATCAGCAGGAAAGAAGAGCATCTCAGTGGGACTCATTGTTCCTTGCAAGAGAAGGCCAGAGCACCAGGATTAATAGCTGCAAGGCAAATGAGTTCTGGGATGCTCCACAGGAGTGGTCCTCCTGCTTTTCATGCCCTCAGACTGCCTGGTCCTACCCTTACGTGTGATTTCTCTGGAGAGGGCAAAGACTTCTTAGCTCGTCTTTTCTTACCCCAGTATGGGATAGTAACGTAGTATTAAAGCATTACCTTTCCTAGTGTTCGTATGGCTTCCAGTTACATCTCTCCTGTCCCTACGCTTCTTCGACATACTGATTTGTCTCTTTCCTAGGGCAGCTCCTGTGGTGTAAAGCATAAGTGTTTTGTTTTCCAATCCTTCTAGTCAAAGCTCTTTATAAAGTTAAAGCCGTAGTTTCTTCCTTTAGTACTTGCACCTTTGAAATTCTTGTTCAGCTGTCCAGTTTCCCCACTGAGCTGTTTCTCAAGCTGTGCAAATTTTCAGCTGTTTTGATCTTTTCTTCCCAAGCTGAGCCCCTCAAGCCTTCAGAGGGGAAATCAGAATGAAGAGCAGCATCACAAATGTGACGAAAGCACGAAGAGTAGTTTGTGCTTTCTTCAGTGTATCTAGGCTGAAGCTGTACTGGCTTCTGATAATTTGCTTGGAACTCTGACTTTTGAATCACTTCACATCTCGTCTAACACCCTCTTCTTTGGATAATATTAGTTTCCTTTCTCAAAAGTAAGGCTGGTATTATTTTTCTGCCCTGGTTCCGATCACTTTGCCTTATTTGTGTCCTGACTTCTGTTCAACTTCTCCCAAATTAGCCTTGTCTGTGAATTTCATTACAGTGCTGTTTACTTCCTCTTCTACCTCTCATGAAAGATGAAAACAGCTTTAAACCTTTGATGTTTATGCATCAGCCAGCAGTCAGTTTGAAAATTGTTTTCTTATTTTACATCAGTCCTGTATTTAATGCAGCCTTCAAGCCAAGTAGGTTGGTGAAGAGCAGCAATAATATTTTCTTTGTCTTTGCCGTGGAAGGTAAGACTGACTTTTTTTTTCTCCTCCCAAAGATGAGGATCTGCCAGTGAAGCCCAAGAAGGAATGGATTCACATGGATAATGTAGAGTTTGACAAGCTGGAATGGATGAAAGATTTGCCCTCACCCCGGCAGAAGAAAACCAAAAAGGTTTGAAAGGTTATTTTTCATGTTAGTGTCTGGATCATGCTTCTTGGCGCTAATGGTTTTGAAGGCTTAAAAAACTAGTCCTCTGGCTCCTTGATCTGTAAGATTTCATCGGGCTGAGAGATGCCGCAGTTTCGTCCACAAGGTGGGATGGTGTGTGGTCAGTTCAGTCTGTAGTGCTGTCACCTTCCAGCAGTTAGTGTAAGAAGTGGTATTTTAAGTAATGACTGGAGTGGAAGGCCACAGAAATAATCTCTCTCTAACCTTTTGTTGTAGGGGATGCAAGCTCGATTCAGTTTAAAAGGAGAATTGATTCCTGCAGATGCCGATTTACCCACACATCTAGGTCTGCATCACCATGGAGAAGAGGCAGAGGTAGGTGTAACAGAGCCGAAAGGGCACACCCGTCTCCTTTTTCTGTGCCTGATTTGGCAGATTCCTTTTGTGTAAAGGCTTTTTAGTGACAAAAACCTTAGGAAAGTGCAGATGGGTGATTTTCCTCTGAAACAAACTCCTGAAGAGAAGTTGGGTCTGCAAGCGCTAACTGCTTTATTTGCAGAAAAGCTCATTAATGCTCTCTTTAATGCCATTATGGATCTGTGGTGTTGGAAGAAAGGCACATGTACATCCTTCTCTTAAGTTCAGTTTTCTTCTGCATGATTAGAATCTCTTTTGCAATTGCCACAAAGCAGCAAACAATACTGCATCACAGTTTATCTGTCGTTATGCAGTATTTTAGAGTTAATCATATTTTAAGGGGCCTGTTTTTAAAAAAAAAAAGTGAAGTGCTTTTTGTTTTGTTTTTGTATTGTCTTTTTTTCCCCTCTCCATTTAGAGGGCTGGTTATTCTCTCCAAGAGCTCTTTCATTTGTCTCGCAGCCAAGTTATTCAACAGAGAACACTGGCTCTACAGGTCTTGGGTCGTATTGTTCAAAAGGTGAGTCCCTTTCCATGGAAATCCTCCCCATAATTCAAGTTTCTGGTGGATCAGGGCCCCGATTGTCCGGTACTAGTAATTTGCTTTGCTTTCTACTAGTCAATGAAAGTGGGCAAAATCACCAGCAGGGCATTCTTATTTAGTGAGGGTCTCCTTACTGTTGGAAGAGTTAAGTGCCAGGATGTAGCAAGCTGAGTTTCAGGTTTCTCTGGAGGAACATGCTATCAAGTGACGCTGCAACTTCAGCTCCTGTGTTGCTTTGGACACAAGTTATTTTTTTTTGGTGTTACTCTTGTCACAAACCTATCCTTGGCAGTGACCCTTTCACTCCTGTTGTCTGAGCCAGCTTCATGATGTGCTTATGTGCTAGGAGGTGAGAGTGAATCAGCCTACTCGCAGAGTGATGTGCCAGTAGCATAAAGCAAAATAGATATTGACTTCTCTGCACATTTCCACCTCACTCTTAGGAGAAGTGCTGACCTTCCCTTCAATGGCAGTGAAGGCAGAGAAGAAGAAACAGTGGTTTTGAGATAGAACGATGGGGTAGAATGGGGTGAAGTCAGAAGATGGGTTCACACTTCTGAAGAAAAGCTTTCCTGCATTAAGGAACTAGGGTTGGTGTGTAGAATGAAAGGAGAAAATAAAGGAAAAATACCTGCATGCAGTTTAGCTGCTTTATGCTAGAAACGAGAAGAGGCAAATGTGCAGAATGTTGAGATGTACCTGTGTGAGATGAGACAGCTTTAACTCTGGCTCTGTGTGGTGTTTGTTTCAGGCCAGGGCTGGAGAGTTTGCCTCCTCCTTGAAGGGCAGCATTCTGCAACTGCTGCTTGATGCTGGGTTTCTCTTCTTGCTGCGCTTCTCGCTGGATGACGCAGTGGATAATGTCATGGCAGCATCTGTTGGTGCTCTCCAAGCTCTGCTGGTGTCACTCGATGATGAGGTGAGACAATCATTAAATGCCTGGGTTTGGTTTCAAGCTGAGCTATTTACAGGAATCGGAATGAGAAGACATGGTAAGTAGTTCGAGCAAAGGCTTGCTGGGTGTGTTAGCCTCATGGTCAATAGAATGCTGTTGCTGTGCTTTGGGACAGACAAGGGGAGTGTCTTATCCCAGCTTGAGAGATCCGGACATCTCTTCTCCTGAATGAATTAGCTCTGCCTCATGATGATGTTTGGTGCACACTGCTGAGGTTCTCTTCCTTTTGACATCTTTACAATCTAGAACAGGCCACTACTAATGTATGCGTACAATGTAGGTTTTTGCATATGGGCTCTTACATTGTTGGCTTCTTGTTTTGTAGTTTTCCCATTTCTGAGCAGATGAAATATTCTCTCTGCTTTCCCTTGTGCCTCATAATGATGCTGTTTTCTTTTTCTCTTGTTGTCCATTTTCTGCTGTTGTGTGCTTTTCTTACACTAGTGAATACCTAATTCTGCCTCCTCGTGTCTGTTTTCTGTGTGATGCTTGTTTTTTTCCTGTTAAAAGGTTGAAACTTTTGAGTATTCACAGATACTAGAGAGCCCTGAGTATAAAGATCAAGATATTAAGATGTCTTCTGTTTCTGGTTGGACAGAAGCAGTCCATGAGAGACAAAGCGTGCTGTGGGCTCTGTTTCAAGTTTCACCCATGAAAGCTGCTCCTGTGTGAGACTGGAAAGGGGCTGGTGATTGAGAAGAGTGGGTACATGTCAAGACTCCCCCTGCAACTTCTGTCAAACCTTTACAACTATCCCTAGTAGGGAGGCGAGAGAAATGCAGGACTATGTAGCTTTCTCCAAGAAAAGGTTGCTCCTTTTCTAAGCTATGAGCCTAATGGTGTTTTGCTAGATAAGTTCTGCCCACCTGTGGTAGGTAATTAATGCTTTGAATCAGCTGCTTAATATGCTTTTCTTTCTTCTGCTATTGCTCTGGTTTATAACTGTCTGCAGTGCTCTGATTCTCAGATCAAAGCTTGTGGTGTGGTATCTTGTCTAAGTGGGGAATTTGCTGACTCTTGATGCCAAAAGCAGTGCTGTGAGTGCTGTGTCAGTATATTTTCTCATCCAGAGAGTCCTTCCTAGAGGCTCATGCTGCTGAATTTCAAAAGGTCTCTGAGGAAGGGACAGGGCTGAAAGTCTGGCCTTTGCTCCAGGGTTTGTAAGACAAACAGGGTTTATCTCCCGTTATAAACACACAAGATCCGGACAAATAAAAATCCTGCTTTCTGGGGGCTTTCTTCATTCATCAGGGGCTGTGGGAAGGAAGCACCTTTCTCTTTGTTTCCTTTGATGACCAGTTTTTACATGACCCCTCTGTATTATTTGTGACTTAGGTTCCAAAGAGGTCCAGAAATGGGAATAGAGCCAATATGTGCCAAATTCCAGTTTAACTTCTAGAGCTTTGGTGGTTTGTTTTTTTTTTCCAGTTAAGTGGCATTTCTACCACCTGTGGAGTGTATTTAATTCACCTCACAGGAATTGCTTCTTGTGGTTTCCCAAGTGCATGTGGGCCACAGGTTAAAAACACTTCTCTGAAAAAGCACTGCCTTCTCCTTGAGATCTTTAGAATATCTTTTGTTGTGATCTTGTTTTCTGGGCTTAGGTGGGAATCAATAAAGCATTCTGTAATCGAATACATCCTTGAAATTTTTTTGTCTTCAATGATTTCTTGGTGAGAATTTTATTTGACGTGCTTTTGCTCTCCTTATAGAAATATCTTGATTGGACTTTCTCATGGTACCAAGGCATGGCTGCATTCCCCTTTGTCCCCAGCAATGAGGAGGAAGAGGAGGAAGAAGAGGAAGAATTAAATGGAACAGAGAAGTCTCAAGATAAAAAAGTAAAGGATGAAAACAAGCCAGATCCAGATGTGGCGCGATATGATGTTGTAAAGGTACACGTAGAGCTGGACTCGAAATCTTTTTAAGAAAACGGGCTTCTTGCAGTGATTGTGTGTGCTGCTGCATGCACTATTAAGAGCAATGAGCAAAAATTAGAGCTCTGCTCTCCCTGTCAGATGTTATGTTTCTGTCATAGATTACAAAGAGGGGAATTTTGTTGATCTCTAAAAATGTTGAGGCTTGGCCTGTGTGATTTCGGTATCGTTAAGTATCTGTAGCTTCCTCTTGGGAAGTTGGCAACAAGTATGCTGGTGATCTTGTAAGACTTGCTGAAAGGCTGCGTACAGACATCATTTTCAGGTTCATTTACTTGAGTGGAGAGTGAAAAGGTTTCAGCCATTATTGAAGTGTCTACTTGCACTTTTGTAAAGGTAAACATGAATATTACAACTAGATAGTTCAGAATTAGATTTGTAATATGACATTCTTCATATATTTGACTTAAGGTGGCTACTTAGAGTTTCCCCAATTTCATTCTTCATATTTGCATTTCTGAGATAAAGAGTTTCAGCATTTGGAAGGAATTCCTCACATATCAGGAGCGTGGGATTAGGCTTAAATATGAGATTAAAAATAGCAACCTCCTTTATCTCCGACTCAGCCTTGGTGGAGCTGATGCAACTCTCCTGGCTGCTGCAATCATTAAAACCTGTGATCGCATCCCTTTGTCCATGTGCTTGAATTAGGTTTTGTTGAAAGTGTCACTGGGCAAAAGAATTACTGTGCTTGAGCATCTGGTCTTGTTTAAAAGCTTCATGATTTCAGATGTGTCCTGCTAGGTGACACTGTTTCAAAAACTTAACAAAAGAATTGTAGATAGAAGATACCAGATTAATTCGTGAGTCTGGGAGCAGTCCCGTGGTTCAGCGTAATGGATTTTAACTCCTTCCAAGTGGCCCGGACTCAGGAGATTTGGGATAAAGTTCACCACTGTTCCAGTAGTTGTGAAATTTCCATTTTGCACCTGCTTGTGGGCCATTAGAGCACAATTCCTCCACACAGGTGGAAAAGGCCTATTTAAAGTAGCAACTGAACTCACTCAAGCCTAGAATTACGACCTTGCTTGGCTGCAGCTGTTTGAAAGTATCAGTACTGTGAACTCAGGTGTTGCGTCTTCCCAGAACTTGGGATGCATAATGCCCTCACTTAAACTGAAGATTTGTTTCTGGGCACTGTCACTGACCTTGGTCTTCCTCTCTGTGAGCCTTAAAACGAAAATCACAGAATCTCTCTGCATTTCTCTTTACCTCCTGCAAAATAGGAGTTCCTGTCTGGTCTTTACTCTGTTGGCTTTGACGTTGCAGGTGTTTTCAGAGCGCTGCATTAGCTGCAGGTGATCTCTAGCCAAAATGATTCAAGGAGCATGAGAACCCTTCTCAGCCACATAAGGATTTAGTAGTCCTTTATGGGGAAGGCGATTTTCCTATGCCCTGTTACTTACTGGGGAAAAACACAGGTATTGAAACCCCACCAGTGGTCAGATTCAGAAGAGAAGTCCAGTTGTTCCTGCTCCTGTGAGTTAACTTGCTCATTTGTGTACTGGTAAATCTGCAGAAACTCACTTCTTTGTTACACACTGGTAACTTTAAAACCCTCTCTCTGTAGAATATGTACTTGGATCTGCATTGTCCTTCCAGGAACTGCAGTTCAGGGAGTGTTCACTAAGAGTGTAGTGGAACTTCATTGATGTATCTATCTATTTATTTATTTCCTTGCAGGGACTTTTGAAGACACGGATCCAACACCGGCTGAGATACATCCTGGAGGTGGTACGACCTGTTCCAACAGTAGTGCTGGACATACTGCACATCCTCACCCACATAGCAAGGCACTCCTCTGAAGCATGCAGCCAGGTAAATCGCCCGTGGTACAGGAGCTTGAGAATGGTAGAGAGAGATTTAAAAAAGGGAACAAAGAAGTGGTAAAATTAGGGCAAGGAGATGAGACAAGCTCGTTTGTTGCATACCTTTAGTTATTAGTGCTATCTGCTATTTCTCTGCAGCTGCTTGACTGTCCTCGACTGATTGAGACAGTTGTCAGGGAATTTCTTCCTACTCAATGGGATCCCCAAGTGGCTGAACCAGGGCATTTACTCACCAGCCTCCACGGTGTGGCTTGTGCCGCTGCTATGAAGTTCATCAGAGTGTTGGCATCTGGAGGCCGAAATGCAACAGCCAGGCTGGTGAGTGATCCTCGGGAGAGCTTTTCTGATTGTAAAAGCCTGTGTTCTCTGTGACTTACTTTGTAAGTAAAGATACAGAATTAACTGGAGGTGACTCTGAGCTGAGGCTGAAAGAACTGCTGTGAAGAAGATGCATATTTGTCTTTGGAGGGATTGTTGACAGTGTCACAATAATGATGCATTCTGCTGTGTACCAGTGGAAGGAGCTGTCTCAAGCTTTTCTCTGCCTTTGTTTGTTTGTTTGTTTGTTTTACCCAGCACAGTTACACAAAATCCCATAGCACAGCTCAGTGACACTGACCTGCAGCAGGTGTTTAGAGCTCACATTGGCATGTGATGCTCTGTACTCTCCCATGCTCCAGTGACAGGCAACTTAGGACTGTATAAACCAGAAGTTTAATTTCTATCCGTGTGTTTTACAACCCTCATTGAGCTTCTCTGCCATTAATTTGTCTTAATAACTCTGAAGTGATTTATTGTTAGTTCTAACTCCTTACCTACTTCTGGACAGGCTTCCCACTTCAAAGATAATTGTGCTCACTCTTACAGGTCATCACACAGGTGCTATAAATGTGTAACATCTACCATGAAGCAGCACCCATTAGGGTTTTTTTTGCTCAGTGTTGTTAACAGCGTCTATTAAATTGCCATCCAGGAAGTTGCTCACATCAGCAGAACACCTCCAGTCTGTGCTATAAAATACCTGGAATAATGTGCTGATAATGGATCGTGGGATATTTAAAGGCTATAAGTGGTGCTAGGAACATAATAGAAAATCTCTGAATTTTACTCTGAAATTATTTTAAGCTCTGTGTACTCCATGTGTTTCAAGGTATGCAAAAATTGCTTAAAAGGTTCCTGCCCCTCAGGCTTTGGTTCTGTTGCACTTTCATATTACTTATTATGGGTGGTTAAATGTGGGAATGGAAGATAATAACAAACTAAATTAAAACCAGCAATGTAGAAATTTATTTTAGCTAACAACAAAATTTTTCCATCTTCCTCCTCTGGAAGTAAATTTGACTTTGCCCTCTGTTCCGTAGGAGGGGTGTCAGAATTCATAGTTTGATTCATCAGCTCCTTTGCTTTCTTGCTGGTGTACATTAAATCTCTAAAGGATTTGAATTCTAAATTATCTATACGATGTCCTTGTGTTGTGAAAAAGGCATTGCTAACTCATTGTTTAGACAGAGCACACACAAGCTTTTGTGTGTGTGGGAGAGGGAGAGAGAAGCTCTTTTTTATGCTTAAGCAAAAATACCCAGTTGTTGGGGAAGGTAAAAATTATTTCTAGAGAACTGCAAATGAGTCATGTCATGCTTAATTCAATATTAAAATAACCTCAGAACATTTCCAAAGCATCAGAATTCTATAACCTTCTAAAAGTAATAGACAGGAGATACCCTTCTTATAAAATAAACACAGAATCGTTGAAAGATTTAGGCTGTAGGACCCCTGAAAGCCCTTTAGTGTAACCTCCCAAAAATTAATATCAGCATCAATTCAGTACTTTTGTATACTGTGTTTTTCATAAGATATATCTTTACATGTAGTCTTGACTAATAGAGTGCTATTAGCTAAAGAGGAATAAATATATATTTTTTTAAAAAAAAGCAGATAAATGCTGCAGAGGGAATCAAAACCAAGAATATGTGTGGACTAGACAAACCTCCATCCAAAGTGATTTAGATATAATGGATTTGTGTTAAGAATGGGTAAGGTAATGCCTAGCCATCCCTTCCAGGAATAGTTCTTGCTTAATAACCATTGACCATGTACTGATCCTTTGTAGTACGCTCCTTAAGATTACACAAGGTAAAGAGAGATTCGAGGAGTGTGGGAGGAGTTTGGAATGAGCTGAATTGAAATCTGCAGCTCTTTTGGTGTGTCAGAGCAATGAGGTAAGGATGCAACTGATGTCTCTTTTGTCTTTCTTTTTTTATTGCTGTTGTTTGTTTGTTTCTCAGCTTAACCAATTTGAAATGAAAAGGCGGTTAAGTCGATTCATAGCTGAAGACCCACTGGATCTGCTCCTGCCGAGGGAAGAAGCCATCAGGCTGAGCACTGAAGCCTTCCGGCTGTGGGCTGTGGCTGCTGGCTATGGCCAGGCCTGTGAGCTCTACAGGTACAGCCCGGGGATGGAGAAATGGGGGTGGGGGAACAACAGAGAAAACAAGCATCCTCCACCAAAGGGGCAAATACAGGGATCTCTGGGCTCAGTTTCTACTCCCTTCAGGGCGTCTTCTCTCCTTTTTCCTTTGTTTCCCATCTGTGCTATGGGAGATCACCCAGACATTTTAGGGCTGCATCTTTTTCCCCTTGAAGACAGGAATAATCTGTGCGGTGTGACACCAAGACATGTAGTTTGCAGGACATCTAGAATTGAATCTGCTGCCCACATGCTGCCTTTCAGTCGTCAGACACCAGCACGTATGCTAAGTGAGGCGGATTGCGTTCATTTTCAGTCCAGTAGAAGTTCTTGTGCTTGACCATTGAGGTCTGCACTGGAATAAGTCTGACATTCAAGCATTGAATCTTCTTCCTGCAGTCCCACTGACTTGGAAGCCTTGAGGTGGGTATGGATGTGCCCCAAAGAGAAGTAAAAGGGAGGGCAGGTTTAAGTTCCAGAGGGGAGATTCTATGCAACAGCATGTTTTGTTCTTTAGCCCAATCAGATGTCTCAGCTAATAGAGAATAAAAGCTGTATATAATTCTTTAGCAGTGTAAATAATGTTGAGGAAAGAGGAACAGCAGAAGATGGCTTAAAATTGCACAATTATAGTTGTGGATCCTTTGGCTGAGACTTGGAGAACTAGGTAAACAAGAATAAAATGAAAGTAGTTTTTGCATGAGATTATTAGAATGCTTGGAGGCAGAGTAGTAGGTAGGTCCCATTCAGATGAATTTGGAATGACAGTATTCTTTCTTTGTTATCTCTTTTCCATATCTGTTTATTTTTGTTATTTTGGTGGTGGTGATGGTTCTCATAGTTTTATTTTAGCAACTTTTGTAAATACATGGTGGGAGAGTGTAAAGAAGATAGAGCTGGGCTCTTCCTGTGGTGTAAAGTGAAAGTACATGAAGCAATGGGCACAAATGGAGATGCAGAAAGCTTCTCTTAAGTGTAAGAAAAACTTCTGACTGTGAAGGCAATCAAACACTGGAACAGGTTGCACAGGAAGATTGTGGCCTCTCTGTCCTTCGGAATTCAGCTGAATGTGTTCCTGCTGTACGTGGCCTGGCTTGAGCCGGGAGTTGAGCTGCAGGTGATCTCCAGAGACCCTTTCCATCCTCATCTCTTCTGTGATTCATCCTGTAGGGATCTCTACCCTGTGCTGGTGAGGATACTGCAGTCTCTGCCCGAGTTGCTCACCACCTGCCTTGGGAAGAGCCCTGTGACTGACTTGTCTGTCCAGCGAGCTGCAGCTGTCGTTACTCTGCTGAGCCGCGTGACGCAAACAGCTGCCTGCACGGAAGAGCTGCAGGCCAAGCTGAGAAGGTCAGGCCCTCTCTGTCACAAGTTCTGTGTATCTGAGTAGTTGGCATCCTGTCTTTCCTCTCTTTGGTTTGCAGACTTGACTACTACCTTCCCCCCCGCCCCTTGATTTTGGATGCTTTAGTGTCCTATGTGTGAACCGCTGAGGGGTGTATCCCCTCTGACACAAGTAGTATCTAGTTTGACAGCTCTGTGTCTGCCAGCCTGGTAAGGGACAGGAGTAAAAATTCTGCGTTCAGCTATGGGGTGGAAGGGCAGCATTAGCAAAATGCCCTGCCAAAAGCAGCTGGGAAGCTTTTTTGACCTGTTTGGGGAAAAGAAAGTAACCTCCCTGAGGTTTGGAGGAAAGAACCTCTCTGTAGAGACCAAGATGGGTCAGGATTAAGAGGTTGCTGGTTTTGATGGATATCAAAGCAGTAGGATTTGCTGAACACAGAGGTACTTTTTCTGGTGAAAAGCAAAGAAGCTCCTTAACTAAAGCTGGATACTGAGGTAGAGTGTCTGGTAAGATAGAGCGTAGCTCAAGGACGGAGTGGTACAGGTGAGGAAACCTCAGCTTTCATGAGGAGATTTTGCATTGGTCCTTTCTGCTCAAACCAATTTGGTCTCATCTGTGGGAATGGGCAAAGACTTCTTTCCTGTAGTGACTGTCACCTGGTATTGCCTTCCAGACTACGTGCAGTTGAAAATCCTGCCTTTAAAAATGGTGATTTAGAGAGACAGTTGTTTCCGAGACATATTTGCTCTCCCATATAATTCTTCTGTTGTGTTTCAGTAATGGTTCAGAAGAGAGTGAACAGATTCCACCTCCTCCAGTAACGTGGAATCAAGTGTCAGGTTTACAGCCCTTCCTTGAGACCAGTCTCAAAAAATTCCTCCAGGAGATATCCCAGAGAGAAACTTGGCAGACTTTCCAGCCTCTGACCACAACTTACGTGATCTACTTGGGAGTTTATTACAGTGCTTGCAGCCAACAGGTAAGGCCTGAAAATACACGTTTTCTCCTTATCTGAGTGGCATCAGCTTGTGTATTACCTCTGAAAACCCTAACCTGCAGGCAATTCTGAAAAAGACAGACATTGAGGCATCTGGCTGAGGAGTGCATTTCATTTACTACAGCTCCTATTTAAGCTGTGTGGCAATTAGGGTCAGATAAGTCTGCTGATTCTTCAGATTAGCAGTGCCAAATATCACTGTCTTCCTTTCTTGTTCTTTCTTCCACTGGGTTCAGAGTGTCAGTCAAGGTACATGGTAGTGCTGTGACTGTTCTGATTTACTGCAGAGGTCAAAGCATGAAGCAGATATGACGTAATTTAGTTTGGCAGTCCTTCTTGTGTGCAACAAATTGTGCATTTTTGCGTTTGTGGCTTGAGTGTTTACGTGTGGACAGCTGCACTGCAGTAGGCAGGTTGGAAGATTGAGCATTGAGGGTCATGTCATATGAACTTTGGATAAGAAACAATGAAAATAAATTTATTTGCTGCCTCACTGACATTCAAGGTCAAATTCTTTAACCTGGTTACAGCTGTTTTAAAGTGACTTTTCTGAAGGTGACACATCAGTGGGACGCTGTTGAAGAATAATGTCTTATACTTTAGCTATCTGAAAGATTCATGTTCTAAAGATAAACGCAATTTTCCTCTTTACTGCCCAACTGACATGCCCGAGTTCTGACCTGGGAGAGCTGTCGTCAGGATGAGGGAGGGGATAATTTAATGGCTCTAGTTATTCACGCTTCGGCAACTCCTCTGAAACTTGCTCAAAGCAACGGAGTTTGTTAGTTGAGGCTGGGATGGAAATCACCAGTATCTTTCAAAGATGTCTTCAGTGCCCCAGAGGTTTGTAGTACCCTTCATGTGCTGTCATTAGGTCCTGAGCATTGGGGAACCAAGAGGTTAATATTAATTTTTAACCTTTATGGATCACAGAATCACAGAATGGCCTAGGCTGGAAGGGACCTTAGAGATCATCTAGTCCAACCTCCCTGTCATGGGCAGGGACGCCTCTCAACTAGATCAGGCTACTCAAGGCTCCGTCCAACCTGGCCCTGAACACCTCCAGGGAAGGGGCAGCCACAACATCTCTGGGCAATTTATTCCAAAGTCTTGCCGCCCTCGTACTGAAGAATTTCTTCCTAAGATCCAATCTAAATCTATTCTCCTTCAACTTAAACCCATTTCCCCTTGTCCTATCAGTGGACACTCTTGTAAAAAGTCCCTCCCCAGCCTTTCTGTAGGTTTCCTTCAGGTATTGGAAGGCAGCTATTACGTCCCCCGGAAGTCTTCTCTTTTCCAGCCTGAACAATCCCAGCCCCCGCAGCCTGTCCTCGTAGCAGAGGTGCTCCAGCCCCTGGATCATCCTTGTGGCCCTAGAAGCCTGGCTGACAAAATAAGTCCTTGAACTGTGACATAAGTGGTTTTGGTTTTTTTTTATTTCCACTTAAAAAGAAACTTGATTGTCTACCTGTGGTTAGTTAATCTGATTTAAAACAAATAAAAATTAAAAAAAAATGCATGTAGCCCATTTGAATGGACTAGTGGAAAAAAAATCAACTTTACAGAAACTGATTAGTGTATACTGGGACCTTTTTGGAATATTTTTGTTAGACTACCAAGAAGCAAGGTTAACATCTTCATTTAGTTCTTGTAGTGGCCTTCCAGTACCTGAAAGGGACCTACAAGAAAGCTGGGAGGGACTGTCCACAGGGACGTATACTGACAAGATGAGGGGCAGTGATTTTAAACTAGAACAGGGCAGGTTTAGATTAGATGTTACAGAAGTTCTTTACTATGAGGGTGGTGAGACCCTGGCACAGGTTACCCAGGGAGGGGGTGGAGGCCCCATCCCTGGAGACATTCAAGGTCAGGCTGGATGGGGCTCTGAGCAACCTGATGTAGTTAAAGATGTCCCTGCTCACTGCAGGGGGTTGGACTAGATGGCCTTTAGAAGTCCCTTCCAAATCAACACATTCTGTGATTCTACGATTTTACTGATTTCTGGAGGGGAATTTCACCTGGGTAAAATTTAGATTTTTATGCTATGGAAATGAAAATTTCTGTATCATGAAGCAGCATTCTACTGAAGGGAAAGAACATTATAATTTGCCAGTGTAATCCTTCAACCTGGCATGTTGCTCACTAGGGCCGAAAGAATTCGGATGGTTCTCTAAAAGCCACAGATCCTCCTCTGTGCAGTGGTCATCCACAGTCATGCTCTGATGGCTAGGTCTATCACACTTCATGCAGTTGACTTCATATTTTTTTTAAAATAATTTTTTTCTTTGAGACTGTTATGATACCACTACACTTTCTCAAGGTAGTTCTGATCAACTTTATATCATCTTCCAGTTAAATGGAAAGGTCAGCCCATAGATGATGTGGGAAGGGGGGTTTAGCCACCTGGGGCCAGTTTTCATTTGGGGAATCTTGATCCAATTAAGAAATCTCCGTGATTCATTTTAATACTTGAGTGCGAGAACACCTTGAGGTGCCAACTCTCAGCTTCCGCACTGTCAGCAGTGAGACCAGATCTAACCTAGAGCAGTACCACTATGCAGATGATGTGGTCTGGCAAAAAGATAACAAACCCAGAGAAAAAAAATAAATCAACGTGTCTTTTTGCCCTCACTGGAAAGCCTTCGTTCACCATCTTGTCCTGTCTTTTTTCCATGTCTTCGGCAGCTGTCAGTCAATCCAGTTGACTGCTTAGAGGAGCTGGAACGTTTGACTTCCGAGGTGCTGCTGCCCCTTCTCAGCCAGCCAGCCATGCACAGCATGTGGGACCTGCTCAGGTAAAATCACTTCGCTGCTAAGATGCTGAAAATAAGGCAGCCTCATTTCTATACTGAACTGTGTGGCAGTTTTCCCCCTCCTGTTTTTTTCCCCTGTATGTACATGCTCCATACATGTGGGCTGGAGTGCAGTAGGGCTCTGTCTACAGCCCGTGTCATCCTCTGTCCCCTCACAGCAAAAAGTGTGATGGCTCCTGGGGTTCTCCAGTTCCTCCTTTCCCATGGGTGCTGCAGTGGGGCCTGCATCTCAGCCCTAACATGTAGCTCTGTTTTCCATGTCGATTTCAAATTGATTTTGGTCACTCTTGGCTTTGATTCTTTTTGGTTTTACTGGTTAAAAAGAGAAGAAAGAAGAAAAAGATGAAAGGTTAATGTCCATGTAAGTCTCTTTTCATACATGCGTATGTGCACGTACCATTCACGTGCTCTGGGTGATGCTGCTGATGTAAAATAATTGAGACTAGACCCTCATCTTTAAGCTCCTGCAGAGCTTCACTAAGGCTTTAAAAAGTCCCTGCAGCAAAGTAAAAGGTGAGATACTAAACTTTTCAGACATTTGGATAACATGAGCTTTGTTTCTGGCTCTGGGGACTGTTTAGCACTTGCAGATATTCTATCTGTTCTGTAGAGGGAGCCTCCCTACAGCCTGTGATCAGTCCTGTGGAGAGGGGGGAACCAGAAAGGCCAGACTTGTAGTCAGGGAAACATCTTGCTGCTTCTTAGAACATCTGATGTAAGGAGTATACTTGAAGTCTTTGTTTTTGAGTGGTGTTTGAATGGTCATGAAGTAGTGCGGCGCATGCTCTTCCGTGACTGAGGGCTGAGGTCCAAAGCACCGAAGCTTCCAACACTCGTTAGCCCCTTCCCCACCTGTCCTTGAGGTCTGAACACAATGGGTTTGTTTGGACTGTCAAAGCCCACCTGCAAGAATTCTCCTAGGCTGTTCGTAATGGTGGCTGGTAAAAATGAAGAGCTAGCTAATCTCTGCCTTAATATTTTTACATTGTTGTCTAAATGTTCTGGGCAGACTAGGGCCAGGAGTTCAGGATACTCTGTAAGCTCCAGATGTGTTCATGCATCTCCTACATTCTAGTGCCAGTGGAAGGAAGAGCAGTGTGTTGAAAGAATTAGCTCTCTGTTGTAGAGTAACGATATGGATCTTTGTCATAGAATCACAAAATGCACTGGGTTGGAAGGGGCCTTTAAAGGTCATCTAGTCCAACCCCCCTGCAGTGAGCAGGGGCATCTTTAACTACATCAGGTTGCTCAGAGCCCCATCAAACCTGACCTTGAATGCCTCCAGGGATGGAGACATTCACCACCTCTCTGGGCAACCTGTTCCTTTTTCTCCCCACCCCAATAGTAAAGGGCTTCTTTATGATTCTGATCTAAATCTGCCCTACTCTAGTTTAAAACCATTGCCCCTCCTCCTGGTGCCATATGCCGTTGTGAACAGTTCCTCTCCAGCTTTCCTGTAGCCCCCTTCAGGTATGGGAAGGACACTCAAAGGTCTTCCCAGAGACTTCTCTTCTCCAGACTGAACAAGCCCAACTCTCTCAGCCTTGTCCTCATAGAGAGCAGAGGTGTTCCAGCCCTTTGATCACTTTTGTGGACTCACTCCAAGAAGTCTACGTCCTTCTTGTGTTGAGGGCTTCACAGTTAGACACTTTGATGGCATTTGCCTTATTGCTCTGTCACCGTTGAGCAAGGTGCTTCCGGTCACTCCTCCCTGTATTGACAGACGTGGTACGTGTAGCGTGGGCCCTGCAAGCACCACCGGTGTGAAAAGTTTCACCCATGGAGAGTGAGCACACGCACAAAGCGTGGTATGCATGGCTGTGTTCACATTAAAGCTAGATTCTTTCTGAATAGACTTCAAAAATATGCATTTCATGAGTACGTAAAGGGCAGCGTTTCTGCAATACCAATTTTAGATATAAGCTGGCTTTTTGGTTTTGCTTGCCAGTTTTTTATTGAAATGTCTTGAGTGGGCAGGCAGCTATATTAAATGGCTTTACGTATGTACGTGGGGATACGTGTATTTTTTATTTTTTTTAATCAAATGCCCAGTATTTTCAAATGTTTGACGTCAGAGGTGTGTCACTGTGTTGGTATTTCTGCCACATCATGACCAATTTAGCTGAAGATTAGAGCTCGCTGGCATTTAACTTGTATGGCGAGGGCATTTACTTGACCAACCATGGTGCAGGTTTTTTTCTTGCACAGTCTTTCAGGCTTCAGTTCAGATAGTAACGTTCCTGAAGAGAATTCTTCAGCAGGATGACCTGACCCCTCTCTCTCTCTTCACACAGGCCATGCTCTGCTTTGTGCAACCCTCTGTCCTGTTCCCCGGCGCCAGAGTCTGTCTCCAGCATTGCATCCCTGAGCTGCGCTGGAGGGAAACCTCCTCTGAGCCTGGTTGGCTCTAAGTCACCGTTCCCCTTCCTCACTGCCCTCCTCTTCCTCATCGATAGCATCACTCGTGTTCACAAGGGCCTGACCAGCAAGGTGAGAAAGACTTTTCACTCTGAGTTGTAGGCTGAATGATTATGTACTTGTGAGGGAGATTATTTGTATTTTCCCAGGCTTAAGAGTGATGTTACTGGGACTATTAAAATTGTTGTATAATTTTATTTTAAAAATAGTGAAGTGCTATAGAGAAGAAATACCCCCATTTTCGAAACAAGTGGGTGAGGACCTGAAAAGTATCTTCCTTGTTCAAAAGGATGGATTTAAAAAGAATGTTGAAAAGGGATTAAATAACTTGTTTGGCTAAGCAAAATAAATAACTGAGTGTCGAGAGGAAAGGAATGGGTAAAGTGTATATAACAAATAAAAATGGCATAAAATTAAATGAGAGAATGAGTGTTAACAGTGACTGAAGAGGTTTCTTCCCACTCCTGGTTTTTAGAATGAGAGTGTCATGGAAGATTGCAAACTCAGAAGAGGAAATGGCAGAGCCCTAGAGAGATGAAGTACCTCGCATATGTTTTCTCAAAGCCTTCCTCTGTCACCTTACAGTGAATTAGCTGACTGGTTACCAGTAGAAATATCTGGCCAGATGTGAGAAAAGCTTCCTAAGCCGCTGACCAGACTGGATACCTGTGGTGGGGATGGTCATGCCCCGAGGCAGGAAAGCAGATATTTATCAGACCATTTTAAAATATCCCTTTTGGAGTAGCCAACAGGAATTCTCATGTGAGACAGTAGGGGGTAGGCCTGGGAGAGGGCAAAGTTTTACTTTCCTCCAAGCACGAACTGTCTTTGTATTTGTCTCCACTTCTGATTCCTTTATAGTACAGCTCTGTGCTGGGCTTCAGAGGCTTGAAGGATTATTTACATCAAAGCTGGCAGGCTGGACCTCCCTCCGTAACTCCCTCATCTGCGTGGATCCTGCGCCATGAATATCACCTGCAGTACTTTGCATTAGCGTTGGCTCGGAGAATGGTATCGTTACAAGTCTTCTCCCTTCTTTCACCTCAGGAACTGACTTCAGCCTGGGCTCTCCAGCTCAGTGTGTCAGACTGGCAACTGCTCTTTGCATCTGTGTTCTTTTTCATATCTGACTTAGGTCTGGTGACTTTTTAGCTGTCTTTTATGCCCTATTAGAGAATAGTATCTTTACAGTTACTGTTGTGGGGATTTAAATCTGTAATACTTTGAGTTGTCTTTGGACTAGAGTGAGAGCAAAGTTTTACAAGTGTGCCACTAAAAACAAGTCTGACTAAGACATGAATCAGTGGAAGTGGGAAGATCTCATTACGAACGCTGACAGTCTTTGCAGTCTGCCTGAGTCTCTCACTTCCCACTGAGGTCTGTGTCTCAGTTGACCCTCCTGTCCTCATTGATTGCCCTGTTGACAAATCACACAGTGCATTTATCTGGTGTTTTGTTTCCTGTACAGGCAGGCGCTTGTCCGGATTACGCCCAGCATGCCTCGCTCCATCACTGCGTTGCCATGGCATTGCTAAGCCGTCTGTTGCCAGGGAGTGAGCATCTGGCTTATGAGGTCCTACTGGATCTTGCCTTTAATCAAGAGTTCCTTCCGTAAGCTTTGCGTTTTTGTTTTTTTTTTCCCTTTCTGGTACATGGGAAACCTTGGGCAAAATGAGAAAGCACATGTTGACACTACAATTTTGTCATGGTTTTTGGCCTATATTCAGGTTTTGGTTACTCATTGGTGTATTCTCAAGCCACAGAGCCTTCTAATCAGACCAGCAATGTGGTTGCAGATTCACTCTGATGTACCAATGTTGAGAAATGAGACTAGTTTCTTTTGATCTCCTCTGTGGCTAGAGTCCTGTGATTCTCACTAAGGCCCAGCATCTGCTGTCCTGAGCGTAGAATCTAGAAAATACATGGGAATTTGACATAGCTTGAACAGCTTCTTCAAACCTCCTCAAACACTTATTATACAAGTTCTTCCACAAACTTTTGCTGATTTGACAACTGTGACATTTTCCACCTTGCACTGAAAGAAATCACAAGCATCTCATATATGAAGCCTCTCATGTCCGGCCAAGAAAACGGTAGCAATTTATCTTGTTCACGACAACCTCTCTGAAATTTGCCTTGGTGCGTCCCTGTAGGAAGTTGGACCAGAGTACTGCAAGGATGTACTGTAGTTGTTAGTATTTGTTGTGGAGTTTGGTTTGGGGGTTTTTTTGTTTGTTTTGTGTGGTTTTGGTTGTGGTTTTTTTTTTTCTTTTTTTAACAAATACCTACTCAAGCTACTCTTTTGTGAGAATTTGGCAAGTAATCTGAGACTGTGGTCAGTCTCTGAGATTGTGGCACATGCATTTGAAAAACACCTTCACACCTCAGTTTCTAACTCCTGACCTTGCCACTGCCAGCCACAAAGCCACTATTTCGAGAACTGCTTATTAGATTCATGTGGGACTTATGATATTTGGTATTTCATCTCAGCACCTTGGCAGCTGTGCTGGGAGGTAGACTGCCTCTCTGGACAGCGCATTGTGGCCTCCACAGTGGACTGCTGGCATTGTTTGGAGGGTTTTTTTATGGCAAGACATTAGTGTTGCCAATTCCAAATGTAGTTCTGTGAGTTCCTTGGAAATCCCAAGGCAGCTGATGCATGTACAGGCACTCAGTATTACCACAGCTGAGTGCTGTAGAAAGTGTTGCAATACTGTGTGTGTACTGCTCTCGCTGATCCAGAAAGACTGTTGAGATGGATTTCTGTAGTGCTTGTTTGTTTGGTGTTGAGAGATTATTGTTTTTTGGTTTCTTAAACTAGTATTTGTCTTTATCTCACAGTGAAGGGAGAGCTGGAGGGCCGGAAGCAGCTGACTTCTCTGATATCCTGCATCTGGGAACCAGTGCCAAACTGGCACAGCCTGGCTCTGCGGCAGCATCTTTTTCCAAGGCTACTCGTGGTGCCCTGCTGAGAGAATCGTACCAGAATCTGCCTTCCATCCGATCCTGCTACCTGTCTCATTTAGTCCACTTGCAGCCTGCCCTTATGCGTTCCCAAGCATCCTACCAAGGACGGAATTACCTCATCCAGTCGATGCTGCTTCCTGAGGTCAGAGGGCCCATCCTGCCTTCAGACTGGCCATTCTTCCCGCTTATCAGCCTCTACAACAAAGTGACTAATGCAGAGACACGTGGGGCTGTACTGAACTCTCTCCCACTTGATCTCGTCAACACCGTGACCTGGAACTTGCAGTGGGTCTTGTTGCTGGAAACCTGGCGTGCCAGAACCCTTCAGGGCATCCCTACTGCTGCCAAACTTGCACGGCTTATGTGCGTCTTCCTCACGGGCAGCGACCTCTTCCTCGAAGCACCGATCCACCACTACACAGCTGCCCTTCTCACCGTATATTGCCACCCCAAGGCCTTGGACTCCCTGAATTTGGATGCTCCCATCCCTGGTTTGGCGTCCTTCCACGATCTCTATATAAGTCTCCTGGAGCAGTTTGAAGGCGTCTCCTTCGGAGATCCGCTCTTTGGAGTCTTTGTTCTTCTACCTCTACAGAAGCGTTTCAGCGTTCAGCTGCGTCTTGCTGTTTTTGGGGAGCATGCAAGTATCCTGCAGGCGCTGGGAGTGCCGCTCCAGCAGGTAATCCTGGCTTGTGCGAGTTGCCTGTCGCTGCTTATTTCTGTGTTACTGGGCTCTTCTCTGTCTTTGTACACCCTTGATGTGAGCATCCTCTCAGCACTTCGTTTCTTCCTCATCCCTACTTGTCCAGTATATAATCATGCTTTCTTTGCTTAGAACCTTTTCATTCTTTCTGAAGAAAGTCCAATGCATGGAGAGGAAAATACAATAGGAATGGAGAGTAGCGTTCTTTTGATTTAGGGATGTGACAGCAGTGTGTGCCTTTTTGTTGTTTCTTTTTGTTTGTCTCCTCCCTGCCCCCAATTGATTGTAATTCTGAAGAATGGAGTCAAGCCCCTGTAGTTGTGGGCTCTTGTCACAGAATCATTTGCAGAAACCTATTGAATGTTGTTTTGAGAGCAAATGTGAGGAAGGCAGGAGCTGTGAAATAGTTCAGTCTTCACGGCAATCATAGAATGTTAGGGGTTGGAAGGGATGTCTAGAAATCATCTAGTCCAATCCCCAACTCTCCAACACTCTGATTGGTCTAATGATTGAAAATCTCCTAATCTATAGCTCATACGTATGAAGGGCTAGTCTGCAGCCCAGGTTCTGTCAGTGGTTACCTTTCCCTTGTCACCTTGGTGAGAACCTTTTCCTTGCCCAATACATGGACAAACAGTCACTTTCCTTCTCAACTGTGTTTTCACATTTAGTTACACTGGAGTTGTGCTTTACTGGATAACTTGTGAAGAAAATTTGATCTGTCAAGTGCAGGACTGTATTTCTTTTGAAAAAGCAGAGCACAAGAGACAGAGATGAGTTAGCTTTAAGTTCTGTGTCAGTTGACAGACAATACCTGATCTAGCCTAAAATTTGCTAATCTGAAGATAAACTTTCAAAATTTTTTTCCAAACAACTGCAAACCAGCAGTTTATGTGGGATCAGTGCTTTCCGTTGTGCAGTTGCAGTGCTTTTGCTTTGGCTGTAGTAGCCCTGCAACCACTTTTCCTGTACCATTATGACCAGATAAGCCTTTGTTTCTTAAATCAGGTAAGCCAAGATATTCTGGCCTATTTTTTATGGTAAGTGTTCTGTTCTCTTGATGTTCCCAGTAGCTCTTTTCTGTGTTTGTTCCAGTTCCACAAATACACGGAGGAACAGAGCTGAACGCTGTATTCCAGATGAAAGCTGTGTTTCAATGTCACGTGCTCTATCTTGTCGTGATCCCTCCTATTTTTTTATGGTAAGTGTTCTGTGCTCTTTTCTGTGTTTGTTCCAGTTCCACAAATACACGGAGGAACAGAGCTGAACGCTGTATTCCAGATGAAAGCTGTGTTTCAATGTCACGTGCTCTATCTTGTCGTGATCCCTCAACACCAGATCTCTCAATACTATCAGAATTGTGGCATGTGTTACAATGGAGAACATTTCAAAGCAGATTGTTTTTCCTGTGCTTAGAAATTTTTTAAATGCCAGATACTTAGAACAATGTTTTCATTGCCGCGTTGCTTGCAAACAAACTATGTGATGGAAAATTTGAGAAAAACCGCTTGAGGAGGTGTTGTTTGTTTGGGTTTTCTCGCTTTTTGTCTTGAATTAAAAATACGCTAGCAGGCAGTAGGAATGCCACAGCAGGCAGTGCTTTTTGAATCAAGTAACATCAATGATTATCTTTAATCATGCAGTGAAGACACTCCAAAGTGAAATACATAATTTTAACCCTAGAGAACTTAAAGTGGAAAAGAATAAAAATTGGAATTGCAGAGAGGGGAGAAGCAAGCAAAACAAAGTAGTTACTAAAAGCTTTTCTGACCAATTTTTCAAAGCTAGACAGTGAAGTCAGAAAATACTGGAAACTTCACTTAACAACAGCGTTAACTCTGGCACATGTGTCTGTTTTTCTTTTCTGGCCAAGGGCACAGGTCAGCATAAGCCTCTCTGGTACATTAATGGGGATGTGGTGCTGTTGGAAGTACTCTGTCTCCTTACTTTGAAACCACTCTTAACCTGTGCCAAAAAGCAGCTGCAGTTGTTTAACCAGTTGAACATCTCTCTGTAAAGCTGAAGAGGTCTTGAGAATGTTTGTCAAAGGCGTGTCACATTAGTCGGCATGGGCAGTGACATCTCTGCTCAGTGGTTGTGCCACTGAGGTACATACATCATCTTATCTATGAGTGCATGCACAAACAGCTGGGGAAGGGCCCCTAAAGTCACTGATTAGGCGCTGACAAAAATTGTGATGTTGCCTCTGGGTGGGTTTGTTGCAGTTCCCTGTACCTCTCGAGCGATACACTTCCCCTCCTGAGGATAACCTGAACCTCCTGCGACTCTACTTCCGAACGCTGGTCACCGGTGCCCTGCGCCACGCCTGGTGCCCTGTGCTTTACGTGGTGGCTGTGGCTCATGTGAACTGCTTCATCTTCTCCCAAGACAGCACAACGCAGGTGGGTAATGGACAGCAGAGCCTTAGGGCTGGAAACTTTGGGGTTTGCAGCTGCTCTTCCCAAGGGTCTGGCGTGGTTTGGGGTGAATCACTTGCCCTGCGCTTGAAAGCAAAGATTGTAAGCTGATGTTCTGAGGACTGCTCAGCTCTTTGAGGATCTTCATGAGACACAGACAGCAGCTCTTGTTCGTTGTCGCACTGATGGTAGATGATCCTACATAAACCTTCCAAGTCAGCAATGACGTGGGCTGTGGCATGGGGAGCAAGAATGAAGCAGAGAGGATGAGGGAGCTGATCGGGCAGAGAGAGCTCTAATAAATTTAGCCTCTGTCTGGGACAGTCTTAGGGTGCAGAGTACTCTTTCCTTTTGTTTTATCTGATTAACCAGGCAGAAGCCCTCCTGTGGCCTTGGGGTCTCTATCAGTGATTATTCATGCTAACAAATTATATCTCTTATCTACCTGAAAAGTTGAGAAGTCAGCTGAGTTTTGGGTCAGGGGAAGGAGACAGGCAAGATCCAAGCGATTTGCCATCTCAAGCCCTTTCTTCTGGGACAAAGCTGCTATTTGGAGCGTTGTAAAAATGAGCAAAGCATCCTCCTGGAGCTCTGTATGCCTGTAGGCAAAGGTAGCGTTGCACCATATTAACCAAAGTCTGCATTTTGTTCCCAGGAGACAGATGTGGCTCGGAAAAGCATGCTGCGGAAAACTTGGCTGTTGGTGGATGAGGTAGGATCTTGAGGTTCAGTCTGTGTCACTGGGACTGAAGTTTTTTAAACATGGAACTCTTACAGGTTGGCCTTTTGGCTTTTGAAATTTGTAGTTAACTGCCTTGCTAATCTGAGAGATGAGCAGCAGGACTTTGACCTGTGATGGCTATGAATTCTGTTACCCAATTCTTGTAATTCAACTCAAAACATTGGGCCCGTTGGAACCTAGACGAGGCAGCATTATATCTGGGTAGTGAGAAGTCCTAGGGGGATGATTCTAGCACAGCTAGGACTCTTAGCTGGATGCTTCCTCTGGAAAGAACAGAAATTATGTCAGGTTTCTCTTTTTCTCCAGGAGCTTGCCAGAGTCTATCATTTGTGTGGCAGAGCTGGGTCATTTAGCCCTTTCTGTTTAGTCTCCAGATCCCACTGAAAACATGGTTTAGGCTTCTGGCAAGAAGTCATTGTGAGGGGTTGCTGAGGAGACAGTGGAGTTGTGTTCAGAAGAGGAAATCACAGGCAAATCGAAAGTGAATTTTCTTGCAAGAAGCTCACCTTTTGCAGCTCTTCTGTTGCAGATGGTGCAATTAAATATGTTGGAATTGCATTATGTGGCAGGTTGCTATGTTGCGTTGGAGACGGGGTGGAAAAGTGGAAAAGATTAGATTCTTTTCAGATATGCTTAACAGCTGCTGTTTCTTTCTTCAGACCTTGAAAAAACACCTACTCTACTACAGAGTGCTGAATGCAGAGAGCCCTTTGGGATTTGACCTTTACGAGCAGCTCCCTCCCATGCGACTGAAGTACCTGCAGATGGTGACGCAGAAGGAAAATAAGGAGAACACACCCGCACTGGTCTCGTAGCAAAACACTTATATGAGAAGAGGGACAAGGTGAAGAATGGAAGAGCTCAGTATATGCTTCACTGATGAATTCAGGTGCACTTCAGACAGTTTCAGTGTCTTACCTGGACACTCTTGGTGTCTTTCAAGTGAAGCAGTAGCAGAATGCTCTCAGCACCGCAGAACAATACGTATCTTCTCAAGATATGACGTGTGTGTGGCCTCTCTGTGATGAATGCTGGAGCCTTTTCTTCTGTTCTTTCAGGTTATTCTGCTGCTTCCCACAGAAGGTGAAACTGGACTGTTACAAGGGAAGGAAGTGCTAAACCTGTTTTGTTTAGTCAGGCTGGAGTCTGTGGGTTCCCAAGATGGTGTGTCTCCCTCAGATCTTTCCCTTGCTTTTTTTTTGTACCCTAAATTTTGAATGGTTCCTTCTCTGTGCTATCCCCTGCAAATAAACTGACAGTACAACAGGGGAGAGGCTCATCCTGAGAGCTTTGCTTTTAAAAATAAGCAGTTTGTCCAGGACAGTGTTCTGTGCACACATTCAGTCATACGGATGTGTCGTGTCAGACCTCTAAGAAGTAATGTTTTGTGGTGCAGTGGTACAAACCTTGCATATCCTCCCTTGGCTGTCTTTTGGATAGTCTCTAAATTGCTTAGTTTTCTCCCTTAACTTCATTACATGTACAAGATGATCCAAAATAATTTCTTTGCAGGGCAGGATTATTGGCAGTAACACTCACCATTAGAACAACACAAAAAAATGGTATTTGCCTATTTAACTAGAATAGGAGTTGTTTGCCCTCTGAGAAGAGGGGAATGTAATTTATATTTTAAAGTAGCATTCCTAAGCTTAAAAACCTGCTTTTAAAAATCCTAATTTGATCCCACTTTTACATCCGGATTCTGTATCACAGCCTCAGACACAAGGGCTACAAATATAGTGCCCTAAAAGGCTTGTCAGAGTGCCAGGTCAAGTCTAGAATTTACCCTAGGCATGCCTGTATTAACCTTGCTCCAGTAAATGTCCTAATTAGAATGTGAAACACTGTTAATAGGCCAGCTTGTAATTGTTGAAGTTGTTCCATACAAGAAACAAATTCCAGCTAGCAACTTTACGGCTGTGGTGTGCTCTCTTTGCATCGGAAGTTCCCCCTCGGTTGCCAGAAAAGACACCGTGTCATCTTTTCCCCCCTTATTTCTGATAGGATATGGGCAGAACTGATGTTTCATTTTGTGTGGTTTTTGGTTTTTGTTTTTTTCCCCCTTGCCACTACCCCCTTTTTTTTCCCCCCTACTGTTGCAGTTCTTGATCTAGGATTTCTCTCTGCTGTGGATGTTTGGGTTTTCCTATCAAGTATTTTAGAAGTATTTGATGTGTTTACAGTTTTAATCAAAGGCATTCAAGTTTCTGTTCTGTCTAGATGGTGAGAGCCCAGCAATTGTCCTTCAAGAGCAATGGATGGTGAAGTTTAAGGACTCCTAGCTGCCCGTTTAAGAGCAGCCTTCACCAAGGACTTTGCCTTTTGCGTTTCACGCCTCCGGTTTATAAAAACTCTTCCAGTCCTTTGTGTGATGCAAAGCTGAGCTTTGCAGTGTGTACAGGGTGTAAATAAATATTTTGATAGCTCTGGTTTTTTTGGAACTGTGAGAATGCTCTCCTTTATTTAAATCATTCTGGGATTTGAAGAGTTCTGTTGATCGATATCTTATGAATCCTACCGCTGCAAGGAAATCCACTGAGCTTTGGAGCTCTGTAAGAGAGTCCTTCGAGCCAAAGGTATCGCCCTGCTTGGGTGGTGGGTCAGTAACGCGGAGTACCAAATGCTGTGTGCACTTGGGGAAGGTGGAGGGTGGTGGGTATTATGTGATTTTGTCATGTGTCACAGGTGGGAAGAGAGTTAAAAAAATAACCAACCCAGTCCACAGCTAGTATTTGTAGGTGGTAAATGAAATCCACCTCCTTTCTTATTTTGTGAACTCTGGGAAGGGAAGGATCAGGTTTTTGCCTGATTCTTAGAAGCCCTTTGTGCTCACAGAGGTTCTTCAAGCTGTCAGTGTGTGCCCAGAAAATGCCTACATTTTTTGATGTGAAATTCTGATGTAAGCATCAGTAATGGAGGGGAGGAAAGGATCCCAAATCGTTCTGCAGGCTGCAGTTGTGTGCAGAACATGGTAATGCGAGCTGTAAGCTTTCAAAACTTTGGCTGGCACTTGAGCTGGTAGAGCAGCCCGAAGCTTGAATTTTTTAAGGCTTTGGGCAACCTTGTTTCAGATTTTTCTGCAGAACGCTAGAGGGCATTGCTGTATCTCGTTTAAATGCAAACTTCCTCAGCTTAAGTGCGATTGGGGTGTAAACCAGAAACCAGCCTTCACACCCGCTTTGAATTTTGTGTGGTCTTTTATTTTTGCATATACTTTGGAGAAGGCGCAAATGATTAAGTACTTTGTGATGTGATTGGTTGCTAAGAATCATTCAGTGCTTTGCCAGCAGGAGCATTTTGGAAAAATCCTGGTAGAGTGAAGGGAAGCTTAAAGCTTACACTGAATGCAGTCTGAAGCAGCACCAAAGTGTGCCAGTTTTGTTAATCCAGTTTAATCCTGATCAGAGTAAATGAGGAAATGAAGAAAATGAAAGCCATCCCCCAAACTGATGTGACTTAACTCTGTATCAGAAGCTTAAAATTTCTTTTGGAAGAAAGTAATTCTGCTGAAATAAGACCTTCAAATAGTTTTCTGGGGTTGAAGTGGTTCTAACTCAAAACAGTTATCTGATAACTGATCAAAAGATGAAAAAAAACGCTATCAAGTAAAATAACTGATCAAAAGATGAAAAAAACCGCTATCAAGTAAAAAAAGTCCTCACATATGCAGTCTTTCTGTTCTTAGTGGGGGAAAAAAACCCCACACCACCATCTTCTGGTCCTCTGTGGCTAGAAAATGCTTGGTTTTGTCTTAGTTACTGATGCTATTCTATGTGGAAACAGTGGGATGTGTTGGGAGAAATTCAGCAGGGACAGTGCTAGAAGGTGGCAGCAATGTGGTTTTAAAAATGAGTGGTCGATTGGACTGGAGATGAGCTGAAGATAATCCTTCTAGTACTGCTGTTGAGTTGACAGGTAAGGTGGTGAGGCTGTCGCCATTTTGCATCCCATAACCTTCATGGCAGCAGTTTTCTGCATTCTACGGAACCTTTGCGTTTTGGAAGGGGAGAGTCTCCCCGCGCTTGGAAGCATGTCCTTTTCTCCCCAGAAGAAATGGGATGGATTTGTGAGCTTTTGGCTGCGCGAACCATTTGAATTCCCTGGGTTTAGGATCTCTGTGTGGTGACCTGGCCACTTTGAGTAGGAACAGTTCCCAAAGAAGACGTAGGGCAAAGCCTGGCAGAAGAAGGTAGAGTTAGGCAAGGAAGAAATCAAAATAGGACTGAAACTGCGCTGTATGGGAAGTTTTTAACAGTGAAGTACACATGAAGCATTCTATGATTAAAGTTGTGTTCTACTGTCTTTATTGACTACTTCAGTTTGACAGTGGAATTTAATAATTCATTTCTCAGCTAAGGCATTCTGTCTGGCCACTTAGTATCGGGCAAACCCTAAACACTTTTTGCTGATGAAGTCATAGACAGATAGAACAAGCCATAAGACATGGGTGTGTATGGGTCAGACAAATGCATTTCTTTTGGTGTCAGATGGAAAGTGGATCAGAGGGGCACGTTAATCCTCTCTTTATGCTCCTTCCTAGTTCTGCAAAGATGTTCTTGGAAATCTCTCATCGATGAAGCAGTGCTGTCTCCAGCTGGTAATCAGATTTGGGGGCAAATCATGTTTTCTTTCAGCTTACAGAAGCTCATATAAGCTCTTCATTCACAAAGCTGGGCCCTCTGTTATCCTTGTATAAATAATTTTATGATAATTTACTTGCCTTTGCCCTATTTTTTTAAAAACTGGCTTCCCCTCTGCCCAGCCCTTTGAATGGAGAACATGCAGTGAATACACACTTTCAGAACTGCTGCTGTTCTGAGTGGTGAATGGTGGTTGTACTCAGGGGTAAAACAGCTACTGTGTGCTCCCCTCTTTTTTTTGTGGTAAAACAAAACAGCTGTTTTGAAAAATGCTGTATGTGGATTTCTGGCCAGCCCCAGCTCGAAGAAGAGAATGAAGAGCTCCAGTTCAACCCAACTGAGATCGTGTTGTAAGCTTCCAGCCAACCCTGACCCCCAGCAATAGCCGTATGTGGGTCAGAAACAAAGGATGTTTTAGACAGAGTGAGACTTGGCCTATCTTTGTGTGCAGTTCTTTATTTTCTGCTGGGCAATAACTAGCAGGTACCAGCAGACACCTGTGGCTCCAGACACCAGAGCAATACCCTTCATCCTGCTCCTGGGCAACTTTTTTCTGTTGTCTGTGGAGCAGCCAACTCATAAATCCTGTCAGGGCAATGGATATTTCCAGAAAGTACCGTATATAGACGTCATAACAAAGTCTAAGGTGTATGAGGCAGGCCAGGGCCATCTCCCTTCTGTGTCCTCCTGCTTCAGTCTAACACAGGTGACAAACCAGACCAGTGAAAAATGTTATGAAAAAGCAGCTTGTCCTGGCCACAACAATAACAAGGAGCTTGTGTGATGTAGAAATACTGCTCATGTCAAAGCAGAGCCATGCGCGTGTGTTAAAATCTGGTGTTCGTGCTTCAGTTGGTTGCTGAGGGTGTGGACGAGTGTTTTCTGGAACAATCTTGAGGGCTGGCAGCCCGTCCTGAGGGCTGGCAGCTGTGGGGCTGGGTGGGGAACGGGGAACACCTGGGCCCAGTCTTCAGAGAGCTTGCGGAGGGGCCAGCTCGGTGCGGAGGCAGGAGGCAGGAGAAGCCCAGCTGTGGTGGTAACTCAGGGGAAGCAGGAAGGGAAGTGCAGGCCCTGCCACAGCACAACCTCACTCCTGACCACAGTGACCAGTCTGAGGCCTTGGGAAAGGACAAAGGGAACGATGGAGGGAGACGGTGAGTACGGAGCATGGCTCAGCTTTCTGGGTGCTGTTTTTTCTGGGTCTCTCATGCTGAGGTGAAGTTTGTGGTTCCCTCCCTGTCTCTCTGGTGTCCGCCTCCCCCAGTACTCCCCTCATGTTTTCTTCTGTGTCCCCGTTTTCCTCCA